CAATGAAGCCAAGAGGATGAATATGTCTCGAGTATCATATGTGTTAATGATGTGAAACTTTATATATATCATGATTTATATAAGACTAAGCATTGCATAAAATTGATATCAATTAGTAAATTCATCACAAATCGAAGTGAGAGCATTGAAATGTTGTTAAGTGGATATTTAAACACATTAAAGGAAACTCTGGTGTTTATCTATGTTGTAAAGGACCAACATTTGTTTTTAGGGACTACATCAATTTAAATTTCGCAAGTGATCTTAATATATAAATATCTATTATTGATTATGTATTTACATTGATAGGAATGATAATTATTGGCCAAAGAAGAAGATATTCAATAAAGAATTTTGATGATGATAATGTATGGAGAAGTGTTGAAGACTTAAAGAATGAATTAGTTCAAGAGAGACGCGTCTACCAATCATGTTCACTCCCAAATGAGTCTAACAAATCAGAATACACTCCTACAAACGATCCATCATCTAACAACTCAATTATGTTAGCAACAAAAGAAGATTTGAACTCAAAGGATGTTTTGATAATGAAGCTAGCTATTGAAGATTAGAAGAACATGCTATTCAAAAACTTTTTGTATTAAGTCATATATTAGATTTAGGATGGAAAGATGTATAATAGGTTGGAGGACTATGAGAAAAAACATTATTTTAAAAATTCACTAGAATAATCGATTATCCGAGTTAAATTTAGTATTGGCAAAAGGCATTGGAATAATCAATTATCGCTTAGGATAATCGATGGTAGCTACAAAAACCTTTTTAGCTTCTGACCTACTTTCAAACTTGGGCCTATAAATACTTTGCATATAAACACTTTCAAGACAACTTTTCACTAAGAGTTTTAGAGTTGTGTGCCTAAGAGAAACTCTTTGTGTTTATGAAAAGGGGCTTTGAAAAACCTAGTGTAGGTAGGGCGATAATTTTCACTAAGTGTGTTTTATGATTGAGTGTTGTTATTGTTGTTAAGAAAGTTGTACATCAGTTGTGTGTCAAAGGAGGTGTTGTTCATCTTTTATATGTCAAAGAAGGTGTTGTTCATCTTTTGTGTCAAAGGAGGTGTTGCTCATCCTTTATGTGTCAAATGAGGTGTTGTTCGTTCTTTGTATGTCAAAGGAGGTGTTGTTCATCCTTTGTGTGTCAAAGGAGATATTGTTCATCTCTTGTGTTTTCAAGATAGGTGCTTTCTAACCTTAATCTTTCTTTGTTATTGTAAGTATTGGTTATTTATTAGTGATTAGTTAATCCCTCTTTAAAAAGATTAACAACTGGATGTAGAGTTATTTTTTTTAATTCAAACCAGTATAAAACTGCATGTGCAATTCTCTTTTTCCAATAAGCTAGTTATCCAAGCTATGCGATGTCGTATCTTGGTGTACTACATAATTTAAGTATATGCAACATGAACCTCATTAAGTTCTTGAAGAATTGAATCTCTCCAGTCAAGCTTCAAAAGACAAGAAAGATTAAGATAAAGAAACCTTACATCTTTCATTGATTTATCGAAGTATTTATAGAATGAAATTACTTCGATCAAGATTGTAAGATTGTAAAAGATGGAGGAAGGTGGTTGATTCAATTAAGTTATGTTTAGTTTGGTTCTTAATTTTTTTTTATGAATCTTTGAAGGTTGAAAGTGATTATTAATGGTAGATACTAGGCATGGGATGTTGGCTAATTTTGGTTGAAATTTGTTAAAATTGGGTGGAACTTGATTGGGTTCTATAGAGGATTGGTATCAAAGGCTATTAGTTTAGGTGTTTTGAATTTTAAAAGTTTGATTGGTGAGAAGGGAATGACTATGGGAAACAAGTTAAACTTTTAATTGTTAAAAATTAAAATGCTAAATTCCATGTTGAAGGAAAAATTATATAAGCATTTTGTTGGATACAAACAAAGTCCCACATCAGATAAAATAAGAGATGAACATGAGTTTATATACACATAAGATACCTCCATTGGTAAGAGGCCTTTTGGAGTGGTACCAAAAGCAAATCCGTGAGGGCTTGGCTCCAAAGTGGACAATATCTTACCAGTGTGGAGATCTATGTCTGTGTGTTGTCCCTCCCTACACATTCAACTAATTTTAGAGAGGCTTAGTGAAAATGGAATGTATCAACACATAAATCCAATACAAATAAAGTGAAAAAGGTGTTCATAAAACCTTGTAATGACGATATTCCCAAAATTTTCTGCTAGCATTCTTTGCACTTCTAGCCTTTTTTGTTACAACAATATCACCACAGTTGCAAATAGAGATTATCTCACCTCCCATCCAACCACCACCATGTAAGGAATGAGAAATTCATTTGCCCTATGTATTGGAACAAGAAGAACAACCTTGGGAAGAAGTCATACCTATCTCGAGACAACGACTTTGCTCAATTCAAGGTAACCTTCTTCAATTACCAATCTTTACCCTTTCCTTTTACTTAATAACTTTAATTTTTAACATTTCCACATGAGTAAACTTGACATTTACACGTCAATTGACCTAAGCTTGCCACGTAATGAATAACTGGACATGTCATTCACTATTGGCTAAGGTGGACATTATACCATTAGTGTTTTTAACACCATCAGTAAAAAGGATTAACTTGAACCATTTTTACAAAACATGGAACCACTTTGAACAATTCAAAAATAAGATGATCACTTTGAACACAACTAACAAAATTAGAGACCAAAATTGGTATTAAGCCTTTTAGAGAAGAAAATAATAATGTGTAAATTTATCATCATGATAAATCAATTAGTGCTTAACAAAACATTAAAACAAGGAAGGATGCATTTGGAGAAAGTTTAAAATGATAAGAAAACAAACGCTACATGGTGCACTGATAACAGTTGAAAAACCATTCTTTTATACTTAATTTTGATATTAAAAACACCCTTTATGACTTAGAAACTAGCTTGAAATCATGTTTTTGCTTAAGTTGTGAAAATAAGAGAGTTGAAGGTGGTAATATTGGTTTTATGCTTGATTTTCCTTATTTTGAAAAGAATTAAGATGAATTGGATGAAGAAGTTGAAGTAGCAAGGAGCTGAAGTTATGAAAGGCTGGAAAAGTGGTACATAGAAGAATCACAGATAGCGTTGAGCGTCATTTGGGGGCACTGAGCGCCAGTCTGGAAGTGCAACCACTATTTCACGCTTGGGCGCCACCATTGAGCGCCATTCTAGAAGTTCAACCATGTTTCACGTCTAGGCACCACCGTTGAGCGCCAATTTGGTTTTGAAAGCATTGTTTCACGCTTGGGCGCCACCGCTGAGCGTCATTTGAGCTACCGTTGAACGCCATAAGTGGGGCGCTGAGTGCCAGTCTCGTGGGCTTGGACTTTTTCTGCACTCTATTTAAGGTTTTGGAGGACTTATGGTTCATATCTTTGGACAGAAGGAGGCGCAAAAACACTCTTTTCACCCCTTGGAGGCAGATTTTGGATGCGAAAGCTCCGATCTTCAACTTTAAGGATTTTATCTTTCATTCTTTTTCATATTTTCATCTAGTTTCACCATGTCTATGGTGAACTAAACCTCCATTGTTGTTGGAAAAATGATGTAATCCTTTGAAACTCTCATGTATTGAATTGATTTATATTATAAATGATTTACTTCATTAATTGTTAGGGTTTTTCCTCTACGCTCTATGCATGCTTTGTTTAACTCATTCAATTGCATGATTATTGATTTTGTCAATATGGACACATATGAAAAAATCTAGAACTAGAAAAATTCTTCCAAAAGCAATATTACCTAGACATAGGGATAGGAGGGTTGGTTGCCTTTAAGCTTCTGTGCGAATGTAATGCATAATTAATTGTTGGAGATACAAGACATTGTAAACTAGTAATTAAGAGTAGACTTTCTTCAACAAGACATCGGGTTTAAGGTAAATTAGAAAGTGACATTAACATTAATGAAGAAGATGAATTCATAAATACATGAGAGTGGATAGGATAAGTCGGAAACTCCAACAATATAATCATTCCATATTTTATATCAATCACATTTGCGTTCTTCAAGTCAATTGATCAACACTTGCACTCATATTTATTTTTTGCATTATAAACACTATGATTTTGGTTACAAGTCGTAATTAATCAAGAAGCCACATGAATGTTTAGGTTGTGAGTTCTAGAAAAACGATACTTGGTCTTACCAATTATTATTATTTGATATCATTCAGTACACTTATCGAAGTGTTAACATGCACTAACCACACTTAAATTAAATAAAAAATTATCTGAATGTACGTATTATTAGGATAGTAGAAATATATGGTTGATTAAGTTTGAAGACCGGAAGCAAAGATGGAAAAGGTTGAGTTCAAATCTTTTCCAGTAATATAAGATTGGTTTGATGAATTTCAATATTACATAAAAAAAATAAAAATCACTATAAATAGTAAATGAACCCATTTTAATTGTTGTTCAACTTTGTTATAATTTTGACCTTTTTGTACCAATATTTGTTTTTGTATTTGTTTTTATTTTAAATTATTAAAAAAAATTAATTTATTTTGTGATATAATATTCTTTTGCCACGTCACTAAACCAATTAACTTTGTTTCTATATATTTAATGGACGGAAGGGATTAGATTAAGATAAATTTTATCATATGTGAACCAAATTAAAACTTTTAAAAAAAGTTAAAGTAGAAAAAAAATAAAATTAAACCTTATAAATAAATAGGATGAGATAAAACAGCCTACCATGCTTTTTCTTCATGGTAGCCATCCCTGTGTTTAATTTAAGGAAGAAGAAAGTGTTTAATTTAAGGAAGAAAGAAAGTGTTTAATTTAAGGAAGAAAGAAGTAGCATCAAGTTATGTCAATGTAAAGAATTTGATAATAGGACAAAAGTTGATGGAGACCAGCCCACCAACCACGTCTTTTATTTATGTTTCGACTTCGAGTCTTTTCTCAATTTTAACTTATTTAGTGTCTTCTTAAGTCAGGGTGCACCACAACAGAGTCATACCCTTATTCTTCTGATATACACACAAAAGTTTGTAAATCCGAAGAAACCATGTGTCCTCTCAGGTTCATTCTTGTATTCTTGTCGGCAACTCTTGCCGGTTTCTTGGTTCTCAGAAATTTCAGATCTCAACCTCACATCACTAACACTGAGTTGGATGCAAACAATGAACACACCCTAACCTTAAAGAATGCAACTTCCAAGGTACAAAGAGGACCATTTTTCACTTATTTCTGTTTATGCTTTAGATTTTACAAAAATGTTGTCTTTTCATATACTGTATTGGTGAGTCTACAGGTTCGTGATGTATTGCAATCTGGATTCTGGACCTTCCTTGACATGGCTAGCGGTCGCTATCTTTGGAGGCACTTAGTCTCTTCCTCTTCCCCAAATCCTGAATGAACGGTTCCTATGGTATATATTTGCTTTTAATGGTGATAATAAGCATAACTTAGCTGCAATAGCACTACTTACTGTCCACTCTTTAACACGTGGTTTAGACTTATAAGTAATTGCTTGTTCTAAATGGAATACCAATATGGTGTAATTGATTGACAAATAACCATGTTTCTTACTCACTGTGTGTCTTGCTCACTATGAATTTAGCAGAACAACTATTTCAATAAAAGAGTATTTTGCAGATTAGTTTGAGTTTTTGGAATGAAAATATCTCAGTTCACGAAAATGTTGTGAATTAAGTACGGTTCTCCTCCCTTAGAAACTGCTCTTCTTTTCTTATGTTTTATTTTCAAGAAATTAGAGACTGAAATGAGAATTTCAAAGAGTAGAAGACTAAAGTGATCAATCTTTACGAGACTAGCGGGGTTCTACAAGGATAACCCACCACCAATTGATAATGCAACACGCTTCACCTGCTCCAAAGAAAATATCTTAGTCTTAAAATTCTTCATACAAGGCAAGTATAGGCTTTTGAACCTTTTTCTTCAATAATTTGGAACTGATTTAAAATGCTACCAGGATACTTTTGCTGTGAGGAGTATATTGTCTTTATTTGATTTGGTTTTGGAAGAGTATAATTCAGATTCCTGGTTGTAGACAATATAAAACCTAAGACTTTTTAAAAAAAAAATGGTAATTTATAATCTGTGATAAAGATGATTTTATCCCAACATTTTTTTTAAATTAATTGTTTGTGAAAATCAGTTCTAGACATAGAAGAGTGACAAGGTATGTTTTTGGGTTAATGTGTTGAGGTTGATTATGTATAATTAGTGAAAAAATTGCCTTTGCCTGTATCGGATGCAGGTCTTTGTATAAGAGGAATTGATAAAGAAACTCCACAATTTATTGATTTCTCTTAGGACAGTATGTATCACACTCTTTATTCACCCACATCCTTAAAACATTTTGAGCCACTACCACTACAACCGGTTTTAACCAGTAAACTTGCATAAATATTCAAACTCAACATCTGTCAAATTTGAGACTCTATGTATTACAATAAGGTCATGGCATTGTAAAGAACAAGAAAATATACAGGCACAGCATCATTTACAATGGCATTTCATATTCCTAATGCACAAAGGTTTGAGGCACTGGAAACTAAGAAATTATGTTTTTGGGACTGAGATTGTTGTTGCTGCAGTTGCTCCAACTGTTGTGATTACTGTTGTTGGTCACCTTGCCATACCCAAACAATATCTTTAAGAGCAGGCCTTATGGCTTCTTTCAGTATTTTCTCATATTCAAGCGTATCTCCATTTGATTTCTTCACCTCCACCAAGTGCAGAAGTGGAGTAACCTCAAAGATTTCTGCATCAATGGATAAGATCCCCTTCCTACCTTCATGAAGGCTCTCCAATTTCAACAAACCGGCAGCCCTTTTCTTTATTTTCATCTTCAGCCGATTTGCAATTTCTTGCAGCCTGAAGATGATGAGAGATGCTGGTTGTCTTGAAGTAAATCTTGCTTCCCTTTTCTGAAAGCTGTCTTCAAAGAATCCACAAAGATTAAACCCAGGTGAGAGGGAGATTATATCAAAGGCATTTATACTTACTGGCACAACTGACTCTTGCCTTGCTTCTGCTGCTAAGCCATTACTTCCATCACCATATTGTTCAGAATGATGTGTAATTGAAGGAGAGACACTCCTGTTTTCCCCTTCTTGTGTTGTCTGTATACCATTTGGCCACTTCCTAAACCAAGAACATTGCTTAATCTCATCAATGGAAATCCTAGTGTTTGGATTTGGATCCAACATCTTGCTCAATAGCCTCCGAACTCCTCTTGGGAGCCATCTAGGACATGTAAACTCTGCCTTGCTTATCTTCCTATACATCACCATCAAATTAGGATCTTGGAAAGGGATGTAACCTGCTAGTAAGACAAACAAAACTACCCCACATGACCAAATATCAGCTTTTGCACCATCATAACCTTTCCTTTTGATGACCTCAGGAGCAACATAGGCAGGTGTTCCACAAGCTGTGTGCAACAAGCCATCTTGGTGTTTGGATTCAGCCAGGGCACTTAACCCGAAATCTGAGATCTTCAGATTATCATTTTCATCCAACAGAATGTTCTCTGGCTTTATATCTCTATGGCATACACCTCTACTGTGACAAAAATCCACTGCATTCACTAGCTGAATAAAATATTTGTGTGCAACATCTTCTTTGAGCTTTCCTTTGGCCACCTTCTTAAACAGTTCCCCACCTTTAGCATATTCCATAACAAAGTAAATCTTACTCTTTGTGGCCATGACCTCAAAAAGCTCAATAACATTTGGGTGCTTCACCAGTCTCATAATAGATATTTCCCTTTTAACGTGATCAACCTGCCCAGCTTTTATAACCTTATTCTTGTCAATCACTTTAATGGCCACACCTTGGTTAGTTATTGTACTACGGCCATAGTAAACCTTTCCAAACGTTCCTTTACCTAGTAACCTTCCTAGTTCATATTTTTGCATCAAGATGTTTGATTTGTTCTCCCTAGAAGACATTGGAGTTGGGCAAAATAAAATTTCACTCCTTCAGCCAATTAAAATATCTATATCATGTACTCAGTATAGAGATTATATGATAGCAAATAAGCTACTCAACCGTCTTCACGCAGGTGATGTACTAACACAACAGGCACATCAAAATAACATGTTTTCCGATTATGCATCAATGGATACTGAAAGATTGAGCCAGCAATGTTTTCTCCACTGTTACCAATTAAGCTGGGCAGTGATAGCAAGAACATAACCTTATGGATCTCAGAGACAGAGCTCATTTTCCTGCATCTCTTTCTCTGGCTATGTCATGCACTGTTGAAGAATATATACATATATGTGCGCCATAGATAGCTGAGCAAACTTCAGAACTATACTGAAAATTGAAGATGATTTTCCTGTCGATGTAGTCAGTCTGAAAATCATAGAAGAATCAAACTCGATTCAATAACTAATGTTTTATATGTATAAATAATATATAAATAACAAAAAAAAAAATTAATCATAGCTCTGATAGTTCATGACAGATAGTATACTTTGGTATAAGTTGAATTCAAATATATACATACAGAGTGACTGTCACAGTAGCTTATCTGATTGTAACCAACATAAAAGTAAAAAATTTGATTACGAAAGGCAGTTGCAGATATTACAGTTCAATGTAAAATGATTTCACATTGAACGCATATAAATACAAAGTGACAGTAGTATAGTTATAAGATCTTAGAAAATGATGTATGTTTTCAGCCTCACAGTAAACACGTAATTCATTGATCTTTAGCAAGAGAAATTTGTTGCTGAAATAATAGTGAGATAGTAAGAAACATGTTGGTGTAATAGCACAATCCAAAGCATAAAATAAAACCAAAAACTCCATAATAAATAAATGAAAATAACCTCAAACCTTCAGAATTGAGATTGAACAGTTGTAGCACCAAACATGGTAGAGATATAGTACGGTGGTTGTATAGAAAAATAAATTAACTAGTAAGTACTAGAGCTGTTACTTGTTTGCATACAACATTCATATATAGTATGGATATTTCTGTAATGTTTTGGAATTGTTCATGTCATGGTGTGCCATCACCAGAGAAATGTAGCCGAACACGTGTACGGACATTAATGCATGAGGAAAAGGAATGAATTTGGAAGTTTCCACGTCATGGTAGTGTACCTAAGCAAAATTGATGATGTTGTGCCAGGTGGATGGTGACTGACACGTTGGCACTCATGATGATCTCGTGTTGCTTAGGTAGGTGATTGATTTCGATCGAATAACCGATACACACCATCATAAAAGTTACCAAATTCAGCCTATGGCTTTCTTTTCAAGGTGTACATTTTTATTATCGATATATTTCTTTTCTTTCTTCTTAGAATTAATGGCACTTTTATTATAGGCTTAATTATTTATACAATACCTACTATAGTGGTAGAGTATCAAATTATGACTACTTTTAAAAAAGTTTTAATTATGTCTTAATTTTAGTAAAAGTGTGTTGATTAGATTTATTTTTTTAAAAAAATTATTAATGACGTTTATGACATGTTACATGTAATTTTTTAAATTTTTTTGTAAATGTTTATATTGTCATATCAAGTTTTTGGTGTAATACATGACATTGTCCGTATTTTATATTAAGTATCATTATCTTGATTTCAATTTAATTTTTAAATATTTTTCTTTGATTCAATCTAGTTTCAATTCTTTTTCTTAAAATGAAGTATTATGTCTTTCTCTAAATTAAGACAAAATTTATTACTTTTACAAATATTATACTAATATTTTTATTAAAAATGACTTTTTACTTATTATTATATTATTGTATGTTATTAATCCATGATTTGTTAATCATGACTTTAATTACTAAGCTTTGATATAAATATTAGTATAACATTTATAAAAATAATAAATTTAGTGTCAATTAAAAGAGAACCAAATTTATTATTTATATAAATAATATTAATTTTTTTTTGAAAAAACATGGATTAATAATATATTAATTTTAAATACTTGTTTTCTTTAAATATTTATATTTAACTAGTTTTAATCTTATAAAAAACATTAATTAACAAAAAATTAATTAATAATATATAATAATACAATAGGTTAGAAAATTATTTTTAATAAAAATACTAGTATAACATTTAGTAAACTTTGTCTCAATTTGGAGATGGAATATAAGAGTTAAATTAAAATCAAAACAAACAATATCATGTCAACGTGTAAAAGTGAAAGTACAACATGTCATATGAACTTGATACATAGCAATAAAAAAATTTACAAACAATTTTTTTTAAAAATCATCACAAATTAACACGTAACATGTTATTAACGCCTTTAGTATCTTTTTCTTAAAATTTTAGTATTTTTTTTTTCAAAAAAATATAATTGAGACATTTTTAAAAAAATTAGGATGTAATTGAAATTTTAAAAAACGAGACCAACTCAATATATTATTATCAAAAGTGAGGATTATACGAGTCATTAAACTTTTATTTTATTGTTATAATAATATTTTTAACTTTTTTCATAATCAGTATAAATTCATTTTCAGAAAATTAAAAAACTATATTATTTCTTTTTGTGAATATTCTAAAATAATAAAATATTATGAAAAACAAACACATTAGATACTAAGACAAAGTAATAAAATTCTTACGTTGTTCGCTTGCGCTTATTTATTGTATAGGAGAATTAGCAAGGATAGATTTTCGTGATAAACGTTGTTCGGTTCGTTGATTTGCAAAGAATGAAAAGCAGGGATTTGCGAGGATTTTACTATTTTTTGCATCTCGCAATTTTTCCAAGATTTGCAATGATTTATATCGAAAAGTTTTATATGCCCTTGTGCTATTTCTATAATTTCACAACCATTTTAAAGGCATGCATAATATAAATAAACCTTGAAACGTATTCGATTCTTAAATTTTGATACTTGATTCCAATCAACGAAGCAATAACACTGTGCTATCACGAGAGATATTATTGTCGCTGCCCATGTGAGGAGTTTGCACTGTCTCTCGCCATGCTTTTGCAGCGCAGTCTAGTGGCCCTAGCGAGATTCTCTGGTTGACACAACCACTCAATGCAAATGAGAGATTCGTGTTTGAATTTGAAAAAGAAGCCTGACCATGAACACCATTAATAAGACGGTGTTGGTAGATAACTTTGGTGTGTGTATTAACTGTGAGAGTGTGTTTACTTTGCGGAGCTTTGCGCGACTGAGACTTGTGTGTGTGCTGAAGCTTTCAGTTGAGATGTAGCAGCTGTGAAGATGTTCATCTGAGGTAATGTTTCTCGCACACATTTATGTGGTTTTTGCAGGTTGAAGACGTCTGCAACTGGTGAAGACGAAGACATGGGTGTTTGGACGAGGAAGAAGGCGGTTGATGATGAAGGCAATCAGATGAAGAAGACGAAGAACAAGTAAGAAGGCGGTTGATGATGAGGAGGCAAGTGGATGAAGAAGACGAAAGCTTGAAGCAGAAGAGATCTTCATGTATTCGGTTCCACTGTCAAGCGTATCCGGTTCCAGCCTTTGGAAGAATTTGCGAAAGAGGTGTATTCGGTTACATGCTTTTTATATCCGGTTCCATATAATTTTGCGTCTCGAGTCTGCGTGCTTCATATCCGGTTCTGCAGCGTGCTTCATATCCGGTTCTGCGGACGACACCTCTGTGTTCTGGTTCTAATAACCAGTTCGAGTAATCGGTTCCCCATACCTAGAATACTTGCTCTGTCGCCAAAACTGGGTTAGCATAAGTGTGTTTACGGCCGCCCATGGGGTGATGCGGTTATGATCTTCGTGGCGTCGGTGTGAAAGTGTACATCTGCCATGAAAGCAACGGTGGGTTGGGGTTGAGGAGAAGGCCTCAGAGAATGGAGGTGTGTTGTTACGATCACGATTCGACGTAGACATAGACGCAGGTGGAGAAAACGACGACGGAAAGCACGGAGATGTCTGGCATGGAGAAGAGGACGAAGGTTTGTGCGGTGGAGGATATCTGGTGGTCTTGGCCGAACAATAGTATGGTGAGGTTGATGGGGATGGAGGTGGCATTAGGTGGAGGTGGCATAACGTGGAGGAGGACTGTTCTGTCGAGGGTGAAGGGCAACGTTTTGCAATGTTTTCCGGCGTACGGTTGGCCGCAAATGGGTTCCATGAACTGCAAATGGCCATGTCCAGTCTAGGTACCTGTGATGAACCCTTTATTATTTTATTTCTCGTTTCTATCCGCACTATATCATATATTCGATTGTTTGAAAAAAAAGGGTAAATTATATATGGGAATCTTAATTGTAATCAGGTCTGTTCATGGCATTACAACCCAAGATCATTGCCGGTGGAAAATCTGTTGCAGCATTTTCTACTACGTGCAAACACAAAGGAACCATACCTTGGGGAAGGGCAGCCTGCAATATATAGGCCATATCATAAACAACTAAGAATTATATACTTTGAGTGTAATAGATAGTTGATTAAAGAAGGTTTCATAACTGGACAATTGCAACATGCAAAAGAACTCCACAGAGTCCAATGCCTATGGAGGTTGCAGCAATAACAGTTGGACCTGTCAAGAACCTAATAGCCATAGAAAATGCTGTCAACACAAAGGAATCATAAACAATATATATATAAATTGTGCAGGGTTATATTTGGAATGCTGATTGCATTGCCCATAACCATACTCTACTACGTGCTTCTTGGACTCTAATCTATCTTGCCAGGCAGAAGGATATGATGCTGTAACTGTACGTACTACGTGAAGCCAAGGACACCACGCTCAAGCGGCTGGATGAAGAAACGTAGAAGATATTTGATTTTAGATGTTAGAGAGGGAAAGAAAAATTATATATAGTATATAGTAGAATGCTATATATATATATATATATTATTTATGATTGGTATGAAAGTTTGGGTTTGATTTCTTCCAAATTTCTTGCCCACTCTGAATTCTCTCTATTTGTTAATGGAAAAATCTAAGCAATGTGTCATGAAGAACAACAGAACTTCAAAACAAACTCAAACCAAACATTTTAGCAGCGTATCAAGTAGGAATTTGTAGGAGAAAAACCACTTGGTCTTCTTTGCTTCCATTTTTATTTCCTGATCTTGTTTACTCTTTTGACTTTTTAATTACAGAACTATCACCTTCTTTTAATTATGTTCCCTGATTTCAAATATTTTTACAGAAGACACCGAAATAAAATTGTTTCCTCTACAAATCTTTCAAAATTGGACATAAATTGAAAATGAAATTGCAGTTTTGTTGTAATTAAGTAAAAACAGAAAACAAAAGATAACAGTAATAAGATCATAAACATTGTGACAATGTGGCAAAACACATTGCCATAAAGCACAGTCTCTCATAAACAAATTAATTTTAATAATTATTTTTAATTTTTTACTCTTATAAATATTTTTACAAATAAATATAACATTAACAAATACTACATTTAAAAATAAATTCATTTTACTACATTATAATTTTTTTAATTTTTAAAAATTAATTATAATAATTATTTATAATTTTGGTCTTTTTATATACATTTTTACAATTAAATATAACATTAATAAATAAGATTTTATATTACTTTAATATCTACGGGCATTTTGGTAATCTTTAATTTCTACCAATTAAACTAATTTTTTAAATTTATCACATCAATCAAGTCCTACACTAGTTCTCACAAACTTTACTTCCAAATCCTCTCTTAATTATTCACAAATTCACTCAAAAAAACAACAAAAAAATTACCATCAAATCCATTCAATTACTCTCCTCAAAATCATCTCCCACAAATCACCTTAGGTGAACAAAACATTAAACTCTGAACTTAATTTAAAAAAAAAATAATGCTCAAATATGACTTGTTAATTAATTAAGTATACTTAAATATTTAAGTTTGACTTCAAAAGATCAAGAGTGAACATGAATTGTTTAGATTGTTTATAACTCTTTTTTTTATAGCATTCTTTTAAATTATGTTTTCAATTTTATTAATATAATTTCTTAAAATTATTTTAATATTAATCTCATAATTAAAAACTATGCATAAATGTTTTTCTAAAAACATCATTTACATATGGGTTAAATATGTTTTTCGTCCCTTAAGTATCACACGATTTTGGTTTTAGTCCCTACTCGAAACTTTGATGGTTTTTAGTCTTCATAGTATTGAAACTATTAGTATTAGTCCTTAAAATTGGACGGCGTCAACTTTTAGTTGATCTGGCAAACGGCGAGGCCACGTCTTCTTCTTAAGTATCTGCCATGTTGCTTCTTCGTCATCTCAGTTGGGGCAAAGTTGAGTTCTTCTTTTTCGTCATCTCAGATTAACCAATTCACAGATCCCCTCAGGAATCGACCCAGAAAAATTATTTCCTGAAATTAACAAAATTGACAGGTTTCGTGCCCCGGAAATCCGATTAGAAAGTTCGTCTTCGGCAACGTTGGCCGCTACGAAAGTCCCTCCGGCGCCGCCGCTAAGGCCCATTTTGCCTCTACTTCCACACTGCGACCGTCTTCAGGGATCTCATCTCCTCCAACGCTGCATCTCGCTTCCGCAATGAGATCGGAAGCACCGTTAGCTGGCCATGTCATCGCCGCCTTCATCCCTATGTGAGGGTTTGTTCCCCAGTTGGTTTCTCCTCTGGCCACGTCGCCGCTCCGTTCTCTGTTCGAAACTCAGCGTGGGGAAGATGAACGAATGTATGATGATAGTTGAGGGGATGGATCTGTGTGGTTCAAAATAGCTCCTTAAATAATGAATCAATGAAAACAGAAAAAGTAAAGCGTACTAAAAAACTCACCAAGGATCACTACAACGGAGAAGAGGACAAGAACAGGCACCGCGCCGAACTTCGCAATCAAAATCCAGTTGTCAGCGCGGTTCTTCGCTAGCAGCCGGAGCTTCACCGTTGCGGAGCGCTTTACTGCCACCGACTGCGACTGGAGGCCATCGATGCAAATCTTCACCATCGGCTGGAGATCTTCCGGCGAAATGCTCTTGATAATCTCCATGGAGAAGCTCTCCCTCTGCAGGAAAGTTGTGCAGGGCTCCAGCTCCACTTCTCCAAATATATTGTTCTTCTGCACGCATTCCGCTGATGGGAGTGTCGCAAGGCGCTACAGCTCGCCGGAGATGTCGTTGCTACATGCGGAGAAATCACTAAAGGCCTGAGAGAGGTCGAGGAAGTCATCCTCTGCCGTTGTGATTGCAATTCTCGATTTTGGGGTGGTATCTAATCTAAAAGCAGAATGAAATTAAATCAGATCCTAATTACACCAAATCGAATTTATATGATTTTTTTAGATCAAATCAATAATTATGATTTCTTTCCTTTATCTACACATCTATGTCATCCATACAATAATTGCTTGTTTGGGTTAATGTTGTAAGATTGGTGTTCCTTGGTTGTAGTTTCCTCCCATGTCATCTCTGCAAGGTGCTCTGCTAATACCTTCAGCTACAAAGCACCCTTTAAACATGGGTAATCCATTTCTTTCATGGAATCCGTCCTCATCATCATATGCATCAGTGCCGCCTCCTCAAGCACAAACCCTTGCACCCACAATGGGACCAGGTAATTCTATTACTATTTTCTCAATCAGCTATTTCATCCCAGGGCAATTGGCTCTTTATCTGGACTTCCATTGTGTGCGACGACGACGAAGCCGAAGCGGTAACCGGCGATGAAGGGTTGGTAACATGGCAATCAATTTTTAAAAAGAAAAGCAACGTGGCAGAGAGTAAAAAGGGAAGGTGGCTCGCCGTTTGCCACGTTTGTGCAAAAGTTAATGCCGTCCAATTTTAAGGACTAATACTAATAGTTTCAATACAAATTTTATTATAATATTTTTATTTATTTTTAAAAGTAATACTATTTTATAAAATAGACTGTTTTATATTTAGTTGCAGCAATCAAACATCAAATAAACCTCTACTAATTGTAATATGTTTGTACCACTTGTAGGTGTTTAAATACAATGTCTTTTCTTTTCTGATGAAGAAAAAACATTTATTTTCCTAATTTACCACATCAATGTAACATTTTAGCTTGGTTGGATTAGTTAGGAAATAGGGTTTCACTTACAATTATTATGTCATCATACTTTTGTCTAATTTTTATAGAAAAGTAAAAATAAAAACTAAAAGAATAACATATAAATAAAAAATAAAAGATAAAAAAATGAAGGAAAAAATAAATATAAAGTAAATAGTAAAAAAAATAAAGGAATAAATAGATAAAATTAATGTTAAAGGCAAAAATATATAAATAAAAATAAAGAAATAAAATACTAGATAGAAGATAGTTTAGGCGCATGTTGAATGAATGTAAATGTCTGAGTTGAGTTGAGTTTTACAAAATTATCCATGTGCAAAATTTTGAAAATTGTATTTAATTTATAATAAAATTATATATATCACTAACCTTTTAATTATTCCAATCTTAAATTTCTTAGTGATTAAATTTAAATTATTTTATTCTAATATCTCCTTCTTGATAATTACCATAAAATAATAAACTTTAATTAATGATCAATGATTTAAAGATATTATTGGAATTAACTCATTCCTAATAACATTAATCCTAATTAGTTTTATTTATATTTTCTAAAATATGAGTTTTTTTCAAATTTGAGTCAAATCTCAATAGTAAGAAGTGATTAATTTCATATAAATAATAAACATAACATTAATAATATAATGAATAAAACTTTATATAAACTAAATAGAAATTTATACCAAATCTCGACTCAATAAATAAAAAGTGACTAATTTCATATAAAAATAACAATATAACGAATAAAGTTTAGGTAAACTAAATAGACATATATTTGAGTCTTGTTATATTAATGGTATTATAAAATTTACTATTATAAAGAACTACTTATAATAGATGAAGGTTGATACGTGCTAAAACTCCAAAAGCCACTATATCCACTTCAAAATCAGGTAAACTTATTTTCTTAGTATAATTGATATAAATAAGCTTTTAGGTCAATGTCTTGCTAATTTCTTCACCTAATCCGAATTACTCATAAAGTATTATTAATTAAAATTTTAAATAAATACTCAAAAACATTTTAAAAGATAAACTTTTTATATCATTAAATCCATAAATATTGTTAAAAACATGAGTCTTGACTACATAATCCTATCGGTGGATCCACTGCTTTTTTTTTCTTATAGAGCAGATATACACTCTTGTTGGTGATTAAGAAATGTATATTTTTTCCTATTTTTTCTTCAAATGCAAAGTAATTAGGGTGGTATAATACTTGAAAGAAAGAGAAGATTTTACTTGAAGATTAGAGATTAAAATTGTGTTTTAATTTAAATATATTATTTTAATCTCCTAAAATTATTTATAAAAATCTAAACCCGATCAACCCCATAGAATTTTTCTTAAACCATGTATTAATGCAAAATGGCAGGTAATCTGTTATAGTTTCTTAGGTTAGGCACCTTTTGTATAAGTATAACCTAATTTATTATAGAAACCTAACAATAGTATGTTTAAAAACTTATTTCATATTAAAACTTTAAAGGTTGAATTAAAAAAAATAGATTTCTATGACTAATAATACATTGGATTTTTTATATTCATAAATTTATTAGTATAATACATTTGGATTTTTTCTGTGATTCACTAATTTATGACTCGATAAAACTTACTTATTCATGAATCTATGACTAAATTATTAGTCTTACGTATTATTAGTCTATGATTCAATAAAATCTAAGTATTATTTAAGACTAATATAATCACTAATATTACGTATTCATGAATCTATGACTCAATAAAACTTACATGGAAATAGGTTTCTATGACTAATAATACATTGAATTTTTTTCTATGACTCAATAAAACTTACTTCTTCATGAATCTATGACTAATAATACATTCATATGTACTCGACCAACCACAATTGGTCTATCACCCGAAAGTCAATTACAAAAACATATTGCATTTTATAACCATCATAAAAAAAATTAATAAAAAAATGAAGATACAATATTATCTATTAAATATTTTTTATGCTAAAAAAATATTATTATTTATAAATAGATCAGTTATGATTTTCTAAAAACATGCAATATATCCTACTAAATTAAAATGACCTTTTAAAACAAATCAGTTAACCATTTTTTATGATAAATAAGACTACCAAATCAGATCTTAATGAGTTATATAGGCTATAGGCTTTGATGGTAAAAACTAATTCATTTTCCTCTTTTTTTTTTATTAATCATATTTTCAAGCTAGAAATATGGGACGCTAATTTTTATGTGTACTTCCTTGTAATTAATTCACGACTATTAAATATATACAAATATATACAGAATTTTAATTGTATTTTGAGTAACTAAAAAATTTCAAAATTTTTTATTGAGTCTCTCTTAAATCTTGTGATGTATTGAGTTCTCACATTTTTGTAAATTTTCAATTGAATTTCTGTCATTAGATTTTTTTCTATTAACTATATTACTGCTATAGTAATTTTATCTTACATAAATATGTCATATAATGATGTGTTAAGATCAATAATGATTAATATCCCTTAAAGATTTATTGTATTTAATTAAAAAATTATTTTTAAAGTCCTTTAAAATTATAAAATATAAATTAAAACTGCAACCCTTCTCTTCAAAAATTAAAATGCATGTATACACATATATAAATGCCAAGATCTCATAAGATTTAAGTAGGAAACTAAACAATTGCAGCAACTTGGGTTATTTTAGATATCATACATAAAACTTAGCTGGTAATAATCTAGAAAAAGACCAAAGATTGGTTGTGTATATTCTTATTTCTTGGTTGGTTCCTTACAGAAAAACAATCTCTGAGTCGTTTTCCCTTGAGAAGTGGACTTTGATAAACAAGTTACACTTTTTCTGATGTGGATGATGAGATCAAAATTCGAGAGTCAGATTTAAGTTACTAAGAGATGCCGTTAGCAAGTCTCAATTTGTGCCTTCTCATCACTTTTGTAGTCTTGCTGTTCTTTCACCAAATAATATGTTAGCATTCCATTAAATATTACAAAAGTATTGCCATACTAACAGTGATTGTGATGGCCTAACTGATGCTGTTTGTTGGGAAAGTGCCATTGGGAAGTGGGTAACATGCATCTTTGTTCACTCTCTTCTTGTCTTCACACAACATAAACCACTCACAATTTTCTTTGCTATATTATACTAAATAAGGTTCTTCCATTTTAGAGTTTAATATGCAGACACTGTCTAATTCTGACTATGCAAAATCTATAATTAAAAACAATGAATGAAATGAATGAATGAAGTATTCCTTATTTGCCTGCATGACAGGGAAAAGGAGCATTGGATCTAAAATAGTTGACCAAAACAATTAGAGTAAAGGAGAACTGACAAGGCACGTGGTTCGAGAAAGAGTAGCACGTGTTCTTCTTCATCTTTCTTCCGTTCATTAATTAGGGTTGGTATTGCCTTACGCCATGTTTTTCTTTTCTTGTCTTGGTCTTGTTCTTGAGATGGATGGTTAAGATCATTTTGTATTCAAACAAACATTGAATTGCGTAATGCAATAATAAACATCCAATAACCCCATTGGGAAGGGATGTTTTTTTAACCATTGGTTGTATAAGATTTATTGCAAGACTAATTCAGAAGACGTTGTTACAACTAAAAGGAAGAACTCTTTGAACAGTGATGTGACTCGTTCTTTGTTTTAACATATTAGCAAGACTTTTATAGAATATGTTTTGTACAATGTAAATCAATTAACACGGTTGTTAAGGTATTGAATTATTCACTCTATTTGTTAAGATGTTAAATCGACACGTTTATCTCAGAGATATCCTGAAAAAAATATTACAGAAACTAAAATAGATGATTAGTTAAACTTTTGCTTTTTAGATAGAAAATAGTTTTTTTCTTATAGCCTTTTCAATTCAAAAGCTATATCCCGACACTTTTGTTTCTTAAAGAAAAGTTTCTCAATAATCATTCTTCCTTATTCATATTATATTCAACTCACGAAAAACATTGCACCAACTAAAACAAATGGATCATTTTGGAAACATGTGATTTGATGGCTATATATACAGATGATAATGCAAAACTGTTTTACATTGTCATTTATTTACTATTACCTATTGTATCAAACTAAGATAATTATATACAATTTTCTTAGACGAGAGTATCAGTTGTTTTATACTTAAAAATACATAAGCTCTTGTTTATTTTTAATTTTATTTGATATCATATACGAAAAAAACCTTATAACATTATTGTCTTAAAGTAAGTATTTTGTTAGAACTTTGGTCTTGGATTGGAAGCCTATTTAATTTTTTATGTATGCTGAATTTTTATTGATATTGTCTTCTCTGTCGTACAATATCTCAGCAATTTTCAGGCTTTGATTGTGTCGTTCTAGGGTTTCTGGCACGACAGTATCGTAGTCAAGCAAAGCTGTGGAGAAGATGGTCAAAATCAGTAAATAAGATGAGATTGAAAAGGAAAAGAAAAATAGTGGGATGATAGAGCCTTGTATTCCACTTCATCCTTTGTTCATAATGTTTGACAGAATATTAAACAAACGAAATCGATCTGAGTGGATCCTAGGAACTATAAATCTATGAGAAAATAATCATTAAAGAGGCATTTTATTATCTTTACGTGAACTAAGCGCCATTAACTAACCTGCCACAATTGTATATAGTTGACTTCACTTTCTTTTCTAATATATTCAACCATAGCAAACTCCACTGGAATGTGGAAACCACTTAAACATACATAGGCCACCCACTACCAATCGCCAATCTCATGGCCATAGATTCCCATTTTTAACATAAAAAAAAAGTCTTAAACTACTCCCTCACATCACCAAAACCCTTTGAACATGTCTCTTTTGCACTTTCCCATCTTCAACACTTACTCATATATACATAACATAACTATTCAGCCACACCTACATAGCATAACTAGCTCGTAATTATTTACCATGTCAAAGCTTTCTAATACCACTCTCCAAAGGCCTTCTAACATTGTTGTACAAAGGCCTCATAGGAAAGAGAAGGACATGGTGACGTTCCTTGATCATGATAAGCTAGCCAGGAATTTCTCCAATCTCTCCAATGAAGCTTACCATGTTGAATCTTCTTCGGTTCCCTTTGTGTGGGAATCTCAACCAGGTACCCCAAAGGTTAGATTCAAAGAAAACTCTCTCCCTCCCCTCACACCACCACCCTCTTATTTCCAAAATGCTTCCGGAAAGACCACTCCCAAGGTCAAGAACAAGAACTCGCCAAAATCTAGCTTTTTGCAAACTCTATTTCCCAAACGTGCTACTAGAAAAGGTGGTGCTCCTTCACAAACTGGATCTCAAAACATTTGGTCTTATTCTTCTTCTTCCCCGTCTTCTTCTTCATCATCGTCATCTTTGTCATTCTCCTCGCCACGGCCCACATCATATTCCGTGCCATCTTCTCCGATGATACACCCAAGGAAGGGTGTAGAAGATGAAGACATGTATGAGGTGACTGGTTCCAGTTTGTGTTTTGGTAATGCCAGGTCGCGAGGGTGTTATTCATCGATATTCAAGAAGGTACTTCTTGGAGATTTTCTGTGACATGTTGTAGCTCTTTTCTGTCTATGATTGGTGTTAATAAACGTGCCTAGTTGGATAGATTGTATGTGCCAAACTGATTTTAATAGTAATGAAGTGCATCATATATCTTTAACCTGCTTACCTTCACCTCTTGTTCTGATTTCTAACTCTTGATTTTAGACTTATATGTAGCAGTCCCTTTATGTTGGGATTCAATAGCCTATACCAGATCATCACCACCATAGTTAAATAATTTTACTGCACTACGCTTCTAATCTTAAACAAATAAGGTTTATGTTAATTAACTACCGAATCCTCAATTCTATGAGGTTGTGATAGCAGATTAATTTCAATTCAACAAATCTTACTGTAAGTTTTCCTCTCATCTATCACCTTTTTGTGTTGGAAATCGTATATCTGTCAATTTAAAATATATAAATAATTGCAGAACTCAATTTTACAATGTAGAATTAATTTTAAAGTTCATTTCAATATATTAGAATTATGATTTAAAACTTATCCTAAATTATGATTTAAAACTTATCCTAAATTATAATTTAAAACTTATTTTAACAAGATAAAATTAATTTAAAAAATATATAAAAATACAAATTTTTTTTAAGATTGAATTAGACTTTAATCTCTTTCTTACACATTTAAAATATGTATTAAAAATTAATCCAACAATTTATATACCTTTTAACAATTCAGTTTCATTCTCATATACCTCAAAAAGTACACAAGAATCTTTCTACTTGTATAAAATAATTGATAAACTTAAAAGATCAAAAGTTTAAGTGGCCTAGAGTTTACTTATCATGCCAATTTCTGAAAGTAATTCATTCGACAGGGTTACGATCAACAAAAGAATTACATTTCAGAAGTGATCGATGTCTAATAAAACATATGAAGACAACGCCAATAGACTATATATTCTGCTATTTAATACAACAATTATTTTTAAGAATACTATACGAGTAGATGGCATATGAACAAATTGAAGAAAAGTCACTATCCAATAAAAACCATTCGTGCACCACGCGAATCCTTAAATAACTGAGAAAAATTAAAAATCCTTAGCTATAATGTTATTGCAGACATTACTTGGCAATGTACTAAGATTGTTTATAGAGATTGAACTAATAATTAAAACTTTATCACTAATTTTGAGAACTGATTTAATGATTAATTGAAAAGTCTCTTCAATGATAATAGAGTATGATTAAAAAATTAACCATTCATAATTTTTAAATAGAGTTATATGTATAAATCAATTTCTATTTAGGTTGTAACTATAAGTTATAGATATACAGTGAGCTGCAGAAAAGTTCAATGGGGTCAGGGCACAACTTGTTACATAATTTTCCTCACAAAGACTTGAGTTACTGACTTTATATAGTTTAATCATGGGTTTGTGTCGGTTTGTTTTTGCTTGCATTTTTCTCATGAATGACATAAAAAGTAGATGATGGGGTACGAAGTAACGTGTGGGTCCAATTTTCTTCTAATAAGTTACCAATTATATGGTAAAAAATTTAAACTACGATAACTGGTCAAAACTACGTACCAGCAAAGCTAACTGCTGCAGGTTAAAGTGCAATCGTGCAGTCAAATCTTTTGAATGCAGAATATTAAACGTATCGGAACAATCAATAAATAATTAAGGTAATATTAAAATAATTTTTACACGAGTTTCAGTAAAACTCATTATTTGAATGCTATAAAAATTACAAGGTTTAGAAAATCAATAAACTTAAACTAAACAAACATGAAATTTTATTTGCCATTATCAATAGAAAACAATAGAAAGATGAATATGTATTGATATTGATACTTTTTTTGCCATAACAGATACATGTTGTCATGGTTGTTCTTTAAAATGTGCTATTCCGAAGAGGAAGAATCAATATATGTTAATTAAATATGTTGTGTTCTGGCATGTGGCTGTGGGAAGGGGACAGGAGCTAGCATGTATATACTTTGGAGTCTTCATTAATTATTTAAATTATTCCTTATGGTTTTCTTAAAAAAGTTAAAATATTTTCATTTTTTGAAAGAAAGAGTCTCAAAGAGCCAGTTGCCATTGGAAAAATGATCTCTTGAAAATTATAAAATATCCCCTAAGACTAGATGTCAATTTTAATGTATTTTATAGACATGGTAGATCTCATGAAAATCCATTAATTGCTTTAAATTTTGCCATCTCAACCACGCGTTGAACACTTTTTT